AACGAAAAATAGCATGAAATTCGTAAAATAACACTAAATAGCATAAAAAAACATGTCCTTTCGATATTGCGCGTAAGTTTTTCGATATAAATGCTATAAATATAACAATATGCCGCATCTATATTTTATAAAGCTCTATAACGAATTACATTGTGAGCTATTTAAAACGATGGTAATTGCGCAAGATCAAATAATAATTTTATAAAATAACATAAAATGCTTGTAATGATTTTAGAGTTACACTACACGGGGTTTTATATTATTTAATTTCAAATATTAATGGAGAAAACTGTACTGGTATATGAAATCAATCGCTCGTTATAATTGAGATGTCTACATTGTCAACAAGTAAGCAAGGCCACAGGCCCACAAGAAGCTGAACAGAATAACTTCCACGATATAAACATTTGGAAAAATTGCAAAAGCTACATATGAAGTTTAGACCAACTAGCCAGAACTACAGATATCATACGATAACGAAATTTCGATCATCGGGTTTAGATACTCTTCGCAAACGACCAACCATGATTCTATCAACAAACAACATACTAATATAATTAACAAAAGCACATCTCCTTGTGCAGGTGACCAAGAAAACAACACAACTAATTTATTTTAGGTACCACCAAAAAGCCTTTAAAATTCGTCTATAACAAAATCTAAAATCAAGTTTTTATTCCCTTTCCTTTTTCGCTCCGGGACAATTCTTGCAGGCTACACCCGATCATTGGCTGTGCATTATTTCACCAAGTTGTTCAAGTACCTGCAATACAACTCAAGGTTCACATGGTTCTCTTTCAATGCATAGATGAAAATAGCAGGAACTAATGTACTGTCTTTATTTCGAGGAGATTAGAAAATCATCAGTATCATAGTAGAAATTCAAAGGAAATCGAACGCAAACATGCCTTCAGGCGCCAAACCAAGAACGATATATTGATACATGTCTAATGTAGTTACACGTGTCCACACACAATTTGTGTTTGGCACCATACGGAACGTGATCAGCTGATAACAGACATGGAATTAGGCGATAAGAACATACAGTCGATCCAATTGGGATATGCTTGCTTGCTGAGTAGTCAACCACTCAACACGAGCATTAGAATTAATGCTCGCCACTCGTTCCTTAATGTGCACTAATATAGTGGAGCGAACAGATAACCAGAAAGCGAAAATACAATACAGGGCAACGTTTTGACAATTAGAGCACTGACTTTATATGTAATTCAAGTGATGCAGCAATTGTGGCCAATTTAGAATTTATTTATACACTATTATATTACTCATATAATGGGTAATACGTCACGATGAATTGTTACCCTGATTCACCAAAATTAAGAGACTTTGACAATAGGGAATCAACACACTAAAGGGATCAAGTCAAAATTGATCTAAATTCTAAAAAATATGTATATTCTCCATTTCAGTGCCAAAATACAATGTCGGCAGATACAGACTTGCAGCAAAAATGAGAAAGAATAAAGCAAACATTCAAATCACACAGGGGACATATTTTGATATAGCTCCAGGTCTCACTAACCATAGCATGTACTGACCAAAGCAACTTCGATATGACTAGCAAAGGACATTAAAATCCAATTCAAAACATAGAAAAAAGTTAATGAGACAGTCAATAATGTAAGTTAACCCAAAATGTAAAAAAGATAGTCATCATAAGCTGATAGAAAACCATCCAGTTTGACTGGTTAGACCAGGGATCGGTCACGTTACCCACAACTGAATTGTAAACCTTGAAATCAAGCAAATTGTATCACACAGAACACTCCAAGTCCCTAGCAAACTACCCTTGAAATCACAGCCACATACTAGCTGAACGATCATAATTTTAAAATGAAAACAAAAACTTGGTTAATGTATTATTTTAATCAATCCATAACTAGCCTGTTCTCTAGCTGAGAGTTTGCTTATACTCAAAAGCAAGCAATATCATAGAACCATTTAAACTGCTTTCACGTTTATGTCATATCAGTATCTAAAAAACTCGAGCATCCAGCCTTTTGAATCTTATGAAACTCTTCTAATGTTAGCATCACCAATCTATTCCATCCCTCTATCACATCCATGTACTTCCAACATTTAGTCGTTCAATTAAGTTTCAAAAAAGCTAACTAATTTTATAATCAGTCTGCTCTTCTATTCATCAAATTATTTCAGACACGACGCAATCAGTCAAATCAATCAAGTAATAAATCACCACAAACACGTAAATTCTTCAGTTTCTATCACCCTGGAACTTCCCTAAATTCAATAGTATCAGACTCACAAAGAAACTACTAGCGATCCTGACAAGAACGGCGGAAGGTACCATGAGACAGCTCACAGAAAGCCCGCACGTTGACAGCCAAGTGTGATGTCAGCCTTGCTCCCGTCACTATATTATGCAGTGGCATTAGCGATTGAGTGCACCCAAGCTCACCTAATGTCCTGCACCCGCATTGCAAAAACACAATTCTTTAAGCCAAAGATATTTGATAATTCTCATTATTTACATTCAGAAAGTCCTATTCCAGCAGAAAACAATTGAGGCTTAGGCACAAATTTCTCCGGCATTGTAAATTAGCAATGGTTGAAAAATATTGCAGCTTAAGCACAGAATTTATCCAGCATTGTAAATTAGCAATGGTTTTTTTACCAACATTTATTGGTATTCACTAAAGCATAACCTAATCAGGCTAAGATCGATTACTGAGTTAATTAAATAAAGCTATGTTTAGCTCAAGAAAAAAACGCAATTGAATCCATATTGACAAACAAAAGTTCTAAGAGAAAGCAACTAACACTGTCTTTTAGGTAGAAAAGGGCAATAGAAAAAATCGTGGGGAAACAGAGAATGAGATCAGTTTCATCCTTAAGATTTCGAAACATGACAATTAATCCTACATGTGTTAAGTGAAGAAGAAACAACATCGAAGATTGAAATT